AAATATTGTATCGTAACAATTCCGGTTATCTCAATTAAATTCTAATAATATTAACCAGAAAATTTTAATTCGTTCATTTTCAACCAGAAATTTTTGTCAGTGTATTACAGAAGGGTGATTTTAAGCGGAACGTGTGATAAAAAAAAGGGAGAAAAAAACAGTTTTTGAAGAAGTCCGTCAATTGACTCTTTGGTGAATTAGAATTGCGTTTTGTAATTTAAAATTAAATAAATATTGTATTTTATTATTCAAAAATTACAAGTTAAATTGTATATAGGCTATTAGTAAAAGCTGGATGTCAATTGCTAAAGTGATTTTTAATATTTAAAGCGTAGATAAGAATATAACACATATAAACGTTTCAACCTTCATTAGGTCAACCTCATTATAACAAATATAGTTGTTAATAATAAAAAAGTTCGCAACGCCAAGTCGGTTAATAATAAAATTCAAATAATATAAAAAGAATTACAAAATAGTCCGGATTTTGTAACTCTTTTTGTATTATTTGAATTTTTTTGGTTACCGACGTTGCGAACTTTTTTGTTTTGAACTGACCTAATAAAGATTTAAAACGTTTATCTATGTTATATTCTTATCCATGTTTTAAATACTAAATATCATTGTAACAATTGACATCCATGTTTTACTTGTAGCCTATATACAATTTTTTATATTTAATTTTGGTTAATTTGTCGTTTCTCAATTTCGTCTTGAACGATATTAAATATGACATTAAAATATATTAATTTTAAATTAATTAATGGTAATCAATTTTTATTGCAATTAATGTATCTATTTTTTATATTTTCATCTTTGTCACGCTATATACTGTTGTTTGTGACTTTGCAAATCAAAAAGTGTATTTCTTTATGTAATAGTATAACAATTATTTACATTTATATAAAAAAAAATCTCTGTATTATCGCGACACCGATCATTTTGCAGACACGTTATTAAAATAGGTTTTTGTTTTCTATGATTTTTTAAAAATATCTTCAACTCGATATAATTATAAAGTTATTTCTAACACTGAGTTTTATTTAAAAAAAAATTGTTAACGATATAATTCATAATTTTGCAATTTATATTTATTTTACAATATAAATATCATAAATTATGCCTGGAATTCTTATGTTTGCACAACGTTTATGTGAAATGGAAATAATTGTAAAGATACAACGAATAAGAAATAGCAAAATTGAATCATCGTAGACCCAGTACATAATACCTGCGTTTATAGCGACTAGATAATTTTATGTTTTATCTGTGGGAATCTTTGTACTAATCGCGCTAATATTTTTATCATATTGACACTCCATTATTACTTTAAATTATACACTTTTTGTCTTATCATTTTGACATACTAAAGATGACCCAGTTTTGGCCGAAACGTCTAATTTATTGTATCTATGTATATATACATTTCAATATAACTACCCGGTAAAAAATTTTCATACATGAATGTACATAAACATATATAAACACGCATATATGTTCATAAATATGTATAATTATATATAAAATATGTCCGTACATATCCATACATCCTTCTTTCTTTTGTAAAATTACTTTTTAGTATGATAAAAATAATAATAATGTGAAAACATAAAAAATAATTAAAGGAATAATTTTTGCATTGTTTGTTTTAGAAAAAAATAAATTTGAAAAAATGTCAAAAAAATATACATAATTATGCTTATACATAATTTATGCATAATTTTATATATAATTATACAGAAGTAATTTTTTTTATATTTCTTCAAACTTGATGTTTCTAAAACAAATAGTGCGAAAATTACTTTTTAATTATTTTTACATTACTACTATTATTTCTATTACACTAAAAAGTAATTTTACAAAAAAAAAAGATGTACGAACATGTATGGACATATTTCATATAAAATTATATATGTTTATGAATATTCATACATATTTAGATACATATGTTTATACATATTCGTGTATGACAAATTTTTAATCGGATACTGTGCGAAAAAACCCTGCGTTGGGACTTATAAACTCATCAGTTGCATTTACATCATTGTTGTATCACTTATATCTAATTGTAACGTGTATTATATAAAAATCTTTATAGAAAATTTTTAATGGAAAAAAAAACGTTAATATAATTTAGAAAGTTCTTATGTGTTCCGCGACGAGTAACTTATGGGATTTCATGTCACTTATTTTGCTTTATTTGTTGTAAATTTATTTTGTCAATCAACCAAATGAATAAGCTACAATCTAGTATGTTAAAATTGATGCTGTGTATTCAAGAATTAATTTATAGTCATATGTAGTATTACATTTTATATACTTATATAAGATAAGATTATTCAGTTGTTGTAATAACATTATTGTATTTTTTTCTTGGAAAAAAGACAATTTTTTCATTTACACGTATTAAAAAAATATTTTTTTTAATGTACATATTTTTTCTCTCTCTCTCCCTCTCTTTGCACTAATTTATAGTATATTTAATCTTGGATGATTATTTGGGAATGGGATTAAGGAAAATAAATACATAACTTGTTTAATTATAGGTTTTGCTGTATCAAAATATTCTTTATTTTTATGTCATATATTGAATATGTGAATATTCTATATTCATTTAAAAATAAAAAAATCTAAAAATTTTTGTATTTTAAAATATATATTTTGTTTACATAAAACTTTATTTTTTATTTATTTTTTCATTATTTATTTCATCAATTTTAATTTAAAAATCAATTATTTCAATAATTTGTTTTTATATTCATCAAGTTCATTTTTATTAAAATGCAGTTTTGTATATAAATATTTTTTTATATTATTAGTAAAGAAAGGAATTTTTGTTGGATATTCTTTTAAATTAAAAAATTTAATCATTTCTAATATGTGTGAATCAAATAATAATTCAATAAAATTAAACAGATTTATGTTCTTACTTGATTTATTAATATTATATAATTTATAGCACTAATTCATCATTGAATTCTATTTCATTCTCTTTTTTTATATGTATACTTGTGTGAATACGTGGAAAAAATATTATATATATTATAGACATATTTTATAATACTTATATATAATTGTATAGAAAATATGTCAATTTTTAATATCATTATATATAATTTTATATTAAATATTTTCCGGGCATAAATGATAGTTTCAATCATAATAGCAGATCAAGATGCTAATCAAGTTGTCAAATAATGATAAACAAATCCAAGATTAAATATGTATCATAATCGTTTGTAGCTAATTCATTTTCAAGTAATGGGTCTATAAAGCGTTATATTCATTTCTAATATAATGATAGATCTGTACATTTTATACAGATTCGTTACCTGATAAAATTTTTGTCACTCACCGATGCCCCAACCTCTCAGTAGTACAGAGCCGTGCGAAGTCTCCATTATAGTTTACTGCATCTTCACTAACTGGCTAATAGCTTGATCGCGACCGGTGACTGCGTACCAATAAAAGAAGACCGATTGATGCACAGCAGTGGAGTTATCAGCTATGTGCACGTTACATGATTCTGTAACGTACAAATACAAGATACAAGTTAAAATAGCGTTCAAAATAATCAAAAATTAAAAAATTAATTTTTATACACATTGAATTTTTCAATAGTTTTTCAATTATATATCCATTAAAATAATTATATATTTTTTCAAAATTGTCTTTATGAAAATAAATTTTCGTAATGTTTTAGATTAATTCTTTTTTTTAATTATTATTTTTAATTATTGAAATAAAACAATCTAATGGGAAGAAATGACTAATTTTTTATGTAAGTAAGCAATAAGTTTACTTACTGTAAAATTGATCCATTGCTTTTCTTGAGCCTCCTCCTCTTCACAAAATTGTCAAGCCTGCTTTTCAGCCTCTCTTCTCTTCCCATTGTTTGTAATAGCATCTATCAGTTGAAAGAAATAGTTTATTAAAATTAAGTGCAGTTGCAAATAATTGCTAAGGGTACGTCTTATTTTGCGCTTACAGATATCATTTATCCTTGTTTGATATTTGATAAACAAGGATGAACTAATGTTTACATCGTGTGAGCGTAAAAGCGGAACGCATCCTAAATATTATGCGACCATGTCATATTTTGTTCGTATAGTTGATATTAATTAGACGTGTGCATAATTCACTATAGCAGAAAAATAAGAACGCAGGAAATTTGAGTGTCATGTTCGATACTCGCGATACTTTACAAATAAAATTTAGACGTTGGAATGCATCTAAGATGGCGAAAGATTTCTGCACAGTTGTCTTTATACGCGACATGCTATTCGCAAGAGTATTGTGAAATACGTGTTCAAACGAATTATCCGTATATTAGTGCGGAAACTATATTACAAGAAATTATTTGATATTTTAATAATTAGATATAAAATTAATATAAATTTTATTTACCAATTTAATAAATCGCAACAGCACTCATTTTGAGCCAACCATCTCGTATTCGTCGCATTCTGCAAATAAAACATAAATGTAATAAATATATCGAAGTGATGTCGTCTCTCGCGTTATTAATTTTACACGTCAAGAGCGACACGGTGGCAATGCGCGTCTTTTTCTTAATGAATATTGAATCTATAATTGCGCGAACTAAGTGTTGCAATGAAAGACAAATATAGATTTAATATAAGTTTCAATTATCACTTGATCGATGCCAATCTCATCTCTTAATTATATCTGCGCTTCATTTACAGATCGAAATGTGTAAATGAATCGTAGTTAAGATTAAGAAAGCGAGTTTTGCTTTTGCGCGGTTAACTTCGCGTGCCAAAGGCGACGCGAACGAAGCGACGTTGTGACGTTGCATTTCTTGCTCTCGGCGTCGTGTTCAGAAATTTTCCGTATTTCGAAATATATCTGATGCTCGAAATACGGAAATAACAATCACAAAGGACAATCGTATATTGTAATATACGCTCTTCTTTTATAATTGTTATTTTCGTATTGCAGATTGAGATATTCGGAAAACTCATCAATTATTTAAGCAATATACTTTCGGCGAACAAGTTTTACGAAATACGCGTTCGAACGGATTATTAATGTGATTACCGAATCTAGTCTAGTAGAAGCACGCGATAGTTAAATATCGCATACGAAAATATATATTCAAGTTATATATTCAGGTATTATATATATTTTAATTATTTGATCGCGCATTTCCACTTGTCTGAGAGCCAGTCCATTCCGCCGCATTTCGCGAATGAAATGTCTTCTTCGCGCGAGAATGACCCGACTCTAACACAGAATTGAAAATGCCGCTATATGCGGTAACAAAAATCAACATGAAGAATACGAAAGTATCTAAAAAACAAATTCAAATGCGCGTTTGAAGCTGGTCACACTTCCTAAAAATAATGACGCAATAACACGTCTGATCACATAGGTAGACTCACAGACTGCGAACAAAATGCGATCGAAATAGAAGAGCGGCGTTTGTTTTCCGTGTGCAGTTAACTTCACGCGTAAAAAGTGACGCGACACGACGCGACGCCACATACTTTCAACCGAATAATCAGTATGCGCTAGTATTATACTAGACCTTATAATATGCGATATTTACACTGTTACGAGAAGTGAAGGAAAAATGAATTATTGATTACCGTAGTAAAGAAATCCAACGATGAATGATCCTTTCGTGCAGATTCCCATCGTTTTATATTCCAAGAGATTCCGTCTCATTTTTCAGCAGAATATTAGAATATGGAGGAAGTCACAGTTGATTCGGAGACAGGGCTGCGAAGTTTTCCAACGTAGTTTTATATTTAGCAGAGATTAGAATCTGAAGAAAAGTCAATCAATTCGAAGACAGGACTGCGAACAAGTGCGAACTGTTCCAACGTTAAAATGATACGACGTACTCTCGTCCGCTGCTCGAGTTACAAAACCGTGCGGTCGCGAATTACGCGGTATTTATAGGAGCCGTCAACCGGCGAACCCCACCACTCGCATGCTAGCCAATGAGCGCGATGCCTCATCACTGCGGATGCTGATTGGTCCGCGCTAGCTTTCGAATATGATATATAAATGCTACACACACAAAATTTTAGTTTTTCTCGGAATTTGAAGTCGTTCGTTTCATGAGGGTAGAGACCTGTACCCATTTGGCAATCGCTTTTACGATGTTAATGCAAATGTATTTAGTTAGTTAACATGTATTTTACGTTACGTATGCTGTAGAATTTTAAACATATAAGATTGTTTTGAGTACGGACTAGAAATTGTATTTTTTTCAAAAATTAAAAACCAATTAGAATAAATAAATGAAGGCTATCAAAAAAATTATTAATATATAAAAGAAAAATCGAACTTATAGAATTATAAGCAATTATAAATTGTGAATCATATATAAGTATAGAAATATACTTATTACTTAAAGTTCTATAATAAAATTTTTTTAAAATCAAAATATTAATATAGCAATACTATTCCACTGAGTTTTATTTTATTGTTATTAAATATATTATAATAATAATCATTATGCTCACTTGTGTATAAAATGAAAACATTAGGATTTTTGTATAATATATACAGCATATTGAAAAATGGCTTATGGACTTAACGAAATTATATCGACGGCAGTGAGAAACCTGAGAGAATATATTGTTGTGTAGTTAACAACGACTTCTTCAGAGGACGGTAGTATGCGGCAGCATTTTGCAGTTACAGATTTTAGGCCGTTCTCTTTCAGGTTTTTCTCTGCCTAGACCATCATGACTCCACCACTCCAGTTGTTCCAGTCTGACAGTCTGACGTTTGACTACGCCAGTAGGTTAGGTCGAAAGTTGTGGCTGTGTCCGGGAGACAGGCTCTCTTTTTCTCTCTCGTATTCAAAATCGCGAAATCATGCTGGATCTTTTTACAATATTCAGCAAGGGTGGCATAGTGCTTTGGTGCTTCCAGAGCACATCTCAGATTTTCGCGCCCAGCGTCAATGCCTTGATAAGAAGTGTTATATTACAAGTGAGTCGCAAAAATATATTGATAGACACACGTTTACGTCTGGCGACCTTTGACCCTAAATTGCGTGATGCATTTCCTCAATTTCCTTGCTGGTTAAATTTGCATTCGAGCTATTTAATTAACTCCTCGATAATAATCCCGTTTATTTAAAAAAAAATGCTGCAACTCCATAAATATCTGTTCTTACATCTTCAAATTTTAATTTTTTTCTCACTTTATTATTTTCGTGAATAATTGTATTATCTAAAAGAAAAATCGAATATATAAGCTTTGCTTAAAACTGTTTTAAAATGTTTAAATGGTTTTTATTATGCAAATTAATTATATATACTGCTAAGAACGAGGTCATTAGGTTAAATAAACCATATGGTTGGAAATCAAATTATCAAATCTAATTATATATCTTGTGAAATATTCTTTATCCTGTAAAATAAAATTAAAATTAAAAGATTGGATATTATAAAAAACAAGTTTCCTATATTTTATATTTCTTTGAAAATTTATTTAGATTATAATTGTTCTCGAAAATTAAATATCAGTATTGGTGGAATTGAAGTTTTTATATCTCTATGTAGTACATACTTATATATATAATGTATACTTTTATAAATTATTTTTTAAAATATTAAATAGAACTAAATTTAAAAAATACAATATAGAAAATAAATGTTTTACCTCTGCTTTTCTTATAATATATGTTATTAGAATTCTCTGTTTCTAGAAAATTTAAGAAATAAATTATAATTTGTTATAAAAATTGATTTTTTTTAGGAACGTACAGGGAATCACAGCTTTGAGCATGACTCCTTGCGACTACAATATAAACTCGACAATGAGTTTGAATTGGTATTTGTAGTGGCATATCAGAAGATACTACAGTTATCTTACGTGGATAAATTCCTGAATGACATCCATCTAGAGTTTAGGGATCGCTTCAAGAATGAGCTTGAAAACTCAAGCTGGTTCACCAACTTTGAGTTTGAACATGCTTATCGTATGGTGCTTGAACGAGCTGAACACTGGTCACGTTCACAGGCTAAGATACCGAAGCAAATGCGTACTTTTGATGAAAGTCAAAAGTCCAAAAAGACTGTCGCTAGTATGATTGAGAGGAAAAACGATAAAGACGATAAGAAGCCAGGTATAGCCATGACTAACAGTATAACAATTACTTTATAATGCAATAACAGTGTACATAGCTTTATCTATATTTGAGACAAATGAGCTCGAATTTTAAAATTTAAATAATTTAAAAGAAAGGCACAAAAGAAGAGTGAATTTTATTTGTAGTCATTCATAATATTCAGGTTTGCTGTGTAGGGGAAAATTCAGAAATTACGAAAATAAAATTTATGCAATAACAACATCCTAAGGAAAAAAGAAGTATAGTATAGTAGAATAAAGTGTAGGAGTATCGCGTGCTTGTTTTATTTTTGCGGTATGAGACAGTAAGCAAATTTATGTAACATTTAGAATTATAAGCTATTCTTATTCACTAATTTTCTCCTTTCAACCTGGATAATACTAAAACAATAGGGATTTTCTTCTTCGCTTCTAGGTAAAAAGAAGAAAGCAAATAACTGTAATGGGGATTATCATAGTAAGTAAACTTTAATGTTTTACATTATAGTAGTTTATTAAATCCTTGCATGTTGGTGCAGTATTGCATATCTTAATATTGCCTAATATGCACAATATTGCATGAATAAAATAATTAAATTAACAAACATAACTTTATTTAAATTTTGTTAAAGTTTTGTTTGGAATGTTTCTCTTTATTCAGTGATTCGTATTAAATTAAATACATTTAAATCCTGCAGCAAAAATTCAAGATGTTCCGAAACAAGAATTGCCGAAACATCAAGTGGAACATAACAGAGAACTTGACGAAGAAACGCTGATCGCCAATCGTATGAAACTTGCTCAGAAAATGGCAGGACAAAAGAAGAAAGCTGACAAGCAGTAAGCATATATAATATTACTTTCTTAATTATATTAATATTAGGATTAAATTACGTTAATATTAGAAAAAGAAATCTTTCAGATTTTTTTTTAACTGAATTAATTAAATATTTAATGTAGATCATATTATTTTAATTC